AAAAAAAAAAAAAAAAAGAAATTTTAAGAGTTGTTAAAATTGTCCTATTTAAAAAGAAAAAAACAGCACCAGTTTCAGACAGTTGTATAGGAAAAACTTTTAAAAAATTCCAGCAACAGTCATTCCAATACTATACAATTTTATATAATAGAAAAAGAAGAAACGCTTGACAACTGGCTTTATAACCTTTATACAAGACCAGTCAAAAACAATTTAAAGAAGGGAAATTTAGGCCAACCTCAGTTATGAATGTAGAGCCAAAAATACAAAGTATCTGTCCACCCCAAATTCAAAAACATAATTCACCACATTAATACTCAAGAAAAATCATCAAACTCCTGTGAGCCTCCAGCCTTGGCCTCCTGAGTAGCTGAGACTGCCATGAGTCCCCACTAATTTTTAAAATTTTCTTTTTTTTTAGAGATGGGGTCTCGCTATGCTGCCCAGGCAGGTCTTGAATTCCTGGCCTCAAGCTATCCTCCCACTTTGGCCTCCAAAAGTCCTAGGATTACAGGCCCAAGCCTTTGTGCCCAGCTCCAGAAAGCATTATTCTTAATGTTGAAATATTAACAAAATTGTCTTTAGATCAGAAACCAGATGACCCCCTTTTAATCACTTCTATTTACCAAGGTACTAGAGGGCTGAGCCAGTGAAGTTACACAAGGAAAACCAAGTTTGTCCATTCACAATCTATCTGCCAAGAAAACAAAAAAACCTACAGACAAAACGTAATTAAATGAATCATAATATATTCACTTAATCCAGTCGTGGGAACAAGAAACTAGAGCTAAATTTAAAACATGAACAAACCTGGGCTAATGTTGAACATGAGAACGCAAGTCACAGACGACCACGTACTATACGAGGCCAGTTACACGGCAAATTACTTACAGAACAAACGTATGTGCTAAGTCATGTTTTAAAAGAATGAGAAGAACAAAATGCAGAGCAGTGACCGCGTAAAGGGGTTACAAAGGATGGTGTCCAGGAGGAGCTCCAAAGTGGGTTCTGGTTCCTAAAATGGGGCTGGGGGGTGGTCAAGAATATAAGCTCTAGTGTCTCGTTTCTTACACATGTTATAGAGTTTTTAGTAAACGCATCAAACCATTACATAAGTAAGCTAATAGACTAGTTCAAACAACCATGGTCAGCAGATACACATAAGTGACAGACTTCATTAAAGCTTCCATAAAAAACAACCCCTCTTCAGAGGTTTCACTCCCAGGGCAGGACCACAGGAAACACAGTACCCACCACAAATATGCCATGACTCAACACCGTGAACACTCTGGGGAAGAGTGCAGCCCTCAAGGAGAGCAACGGGAACCGCAGTCACTGAGCACCAGCCACGAGCCAGGGTCAGGGCTGCGGTTTCCCATGTCATCTCTGATTCCATCAGCCCAGAACGCCCTCCTCACACACCACAGTGGCCGCCTGCAGCCAGCTCTGCAGCCGCGCACGCCAGGCCTTCCCTTTACTGTTACAGAATCCGTCCTCCCACACCAGCCAAGCACATTCCTCTTCAAACCATGAACATATCCTAGAAAATCAATAATTCCAGAACCTATAATTCAGTTCTTAGTACAGTTATTCAGGAATCTGGCCATTTGTCTAATACATTTGGACAAAAAAAGACTTTAACAGATCAAACACCACACCCAAACATTCAGTTTTGAAGAGAATATATGGTCAACACATAAAAAGATCAGAACCTCACCAATAGTGAGAAAATATGGTGTGTTCTAAAAGTCTCCATATATAGGAAAAATTAAACTCATGTAACAGCTCGGTGCCTGCAGCTCAAGTGGCTAAGGCGCCAGCCACATACACCTAAGGTGGCGGGTTCGAATCCAGCCTGGGCCCACCAAAC